GACTTTCGCATAGAGTCCATTCTTTTTCAATGTTGGGCTAATGATATTGTGTGCAACTGATCAGCTTTATCAAATCTATTCCATGAGCAGATTTATGACGTGTTAATACCAATCGATGAATACAAATTGCCCTTAGGCGCTGCCTGAGCAAGTCACATGTATTCATATATGTGATTAAATATGAGTACTCACCTAGCATGGCGATCATGTCTAAACCATCATTTGACAACCAATGTGATTGCTTACACCTCGATAGAACTGTCACATCGTGTCAAGCCATTAGCATATCATTTGTGATCGCTCACACCTCGATAAAATGATTACGGTATGTTGGATCATTTTGCACTTTGCACGAACATTACCTAGTCCACTTTGATAGTGAATCATCTATGTTAGATGTGAGACCCGATGTCGGTCACAATGTCTTAATGAGTATTGCTTGCGAGCATATCTCAGCGAGCAATATAAAATATCGCATTGTGATTAACACGTGTACGACTGTGCTAAGGTTCCAAGAGGTCTAAAATGTGTCATTTATGCTTATTTTAACCTAAAACCTATTTTAAATCATTCACACAATCGTTGAATACAGATGTTATGTTATCTCAGTTTATCACTCATACAAATTAGTCATTTTTTCACATAAATTAGGGCAAAATAAATATTTTCCTTCACTAACACTAAACAACACAGCTCAAATTTATAAAGATAAGCACCTACAATTCGAGTGATAAACTATCTCTTCCAAGCCCTAAACCTAATACTCAAGACCCTAATCTCATGCATAACCAAAGCTTAAGCATAATAAACCCTATTTATACCCCACAATAATAAATAATTAAAAGAACAATTTGCCCTAAGACGCTCCCTTAATAATACTCCCCTCCCAAAAAGACACATTGTCCTTGGAGTGGAACAAAAGAAAATTGTTGTTGGATCAAATCATTTGGCTCCCATGTGGCATCCACATCTGGTAATCATTTCCATTTAATCAGAAATTCATGGTGACCCTCATGAGTTCAAAATGCAGTATTGTGCACAACTTTCAGCCGCATCTGAACATGTTGGTACCCTGACTTAAAGTCAATCTTGGATGATATTGCAACACTGCACAACTCGCCCAGTAACTCATCGACCACTACAATGGGAAATTTATCAGGCACTGTTTTTGTATTCACTGTCTGATGATCCAGACGAAAACACCAGCTTTCATCCTTCTTCTTTAATAACAAGATTGAGCTAGAGGAGCTCACACTAAACTGTATGATCCAAACCTCCAACATCTCAAGAGTCCATTTCTCAACCTCGACCTTCGATACTGACGATAGTGATATAGGCACACACTGATAGAAGAAACCCCTAATCTCGGAAGTATTGCATGCTTAAGTCTACTCTCCATTCCTTCGCACGATCCCACGACTCTAGATATGCCTAAGGTAACGACACTACCTTGATGTCGCGCAAATCCTCCAGATTAATGTCACTTGAGTTCGCTCCTGATTCCTGCTCTCGGTCCCACGAATCTAGATCCACCTAAAGCAATGACACTGCCCTGCTGTCGCGCAAATCCTTCTGACTGTTGCAACTCGCATCTGTTCACCATGTCGTCGCTCGATCCCACAATAGGTGGTGGTGAATTTGCGTGAAACTCTGCGATCTTCATCATTTCTTCCAAGGTCGTGAAGTACCCCTCGAACCACCCCTTCATTGTCAAGAAACGCTCATCCATTTTAGAACTGATTTGGCTCTCCTGATCCTTTAATTTCTCCTTCAAAACATCTATCTTTTGGTCGACATTACTCTTCGCATGGTTTCAAAACTCCTGTAATCTTGTCTTTCCCGTTGTCTCCAATCGCAATTGTATCATACGATCGGTGGCTTCCCGGCTATTTCAAATCACGACCTGATCATCGTGATTCTGTCGTGGCCCCTGCATTGTGTCACGATGCTTCCCAACTAGATCTTGTCACGTCATTGAACCCTGTACTGCGCAGCAATCTCATCGCCGCTTCCCCATGAGATCTTATCGCAAATGTATCGAACAAATGCAACACCTGTATTCGCAATCCCATCAATGTTTGTGTCCAGATCAATCAAATCGAGCGCTCCATACACTGAGATACATTTTCACAACTGCGGCTTGAAACCCTATTGGCTTCCCAGGCGTAATTTGATCCCTCCGTTGACATCCCAAGTGTGATCCTTTCTTTGCTTCTGTCAAAGAGCAACAATATTTGAAACCTTTTGCGCTGCAATCCTACTATACATATTAGAGCAAAACGAATTCACGCCCTGCAATTGGCGATTCTTCGAAGAATTTAATGTTCTAATACCAATTTGATACAAATAGGAGCTAATTTTTTCACAGAAATCAGGACAAAATAAATATTTTTCTTTGCTAAAATAAAATAACACAACTCAAATGCATAAAGATAAGCACCTACAATTCGAAAGGTAGACGATCTCTCTCAACATCTACAATTTGAGAGGCAGACAATCTCTCTCAAACCATAAACCTAAGACTCAAGACCACAATATCATGCATAACCTAAACAAAAGCATAATAAGCCTTATTTATACCCCACAAAAATAACTAATAAAAAGACTAAATTACCCTAAGGTGCCAGCGTAACAATCGCTTTCCAAAACATATGTAACTCTCCTCTCTAAAAAGAAAATCACAAATATAAACTATTTTTGTTAGGTTTAAGTCCCTTGTTGTCGATCAAGCATCATCTTATTTCACAGCTATTAGCCCTGAACCCTGAAACCTAAACCCTAAACCCTATAATGTGGGAATATCAAGTCCCCTCTACTTTCTTAGTTATCAACAACATATCTCATCACACAATTCCACACATACCAAAACAGAATGAAAACTTTGAGGATCATCATCATCGTCATATAGTCATAAATCCATGCTTCTATCTTATTAAACTAATGCATTCAACATTGTTGTTAATGCTTGTCAACCATCTACCCCGCCCACACTTTTTCTCCTGCCCTAGTACACCAAACTCTTCGGCTTTTTCTCCAACACTTGTACACCAAACTCTTTGGTACACCACCAAACTTCAATGTTTCAGCTAACTCTATTACCCATGGTTTAGGCCATACTCCTCCCATAAGCTTGAGCCTCATTTTCTAGGTTACTTCATAATGCAAAGCGCAAGTCTATTTCTTGTACCCATCTCCACATGTGTCAACACATCATGCAACACCAAATTTATAAAATTCATTTTTTTTGTTATCACCCTTCAACCTTGCATAAATAGCCCCTCCACTGATACATCACTCTATCTTTTTTTCTCTCTATCTAATCACATGCACATCGTCATTAGCACACCAAATATGCTCCTTCACAGAGCACCTATGAACATCCCTTATCACAATAGTACCAATCCTCTTCTATCCTTCTTCCTATATTTACCACCAATATAGGAGCCAGTAGTGATTCACCTTCTCCACTGCACATACGCAACGCACCTACAAAAAATAAACCTCCCCAACTTCACATTCATTGTCTCTCCTCCATGAGTTAGTACAAACACAAACAATATCCACAATCCAATCACCAAAATAAACATAACTTACCAACTCCATTGACCTTGCACCTACCTTAACAACTTGGAACATCAAATATTCAAAGTGTCAGGTCATTTTAAGTTAGTGTGATGCTCTAGTAAAAATGTAACATACTCCATCATTCCTCCAATCTATCACAAAATATTATTGGTTGCAAATGGATTTTTCGCACAAAGTATTCTCTTACACACCGATTAGCAAGTATAAAGATCAACAAATCATTGAAGGATTTTATATGCACCTTGGAGTTGACTTCCATAGCACTTTCAATCTAATAGTCAAGCACACTATTATTCCCCTAGTCCTTAGCCTTGATTGTGATCAAGACTAGACACTATATAGAGTTGATGTAATAATATATTTCTCTAATGTACCCATTCTACATAAGCGTTAATGATACAATCACAAGGCTTCATCAATCATGATTAATCTCATAATAATGAAAATGTTGGGAGACAATTTATGATCTTAAACAAACTTTGAGACTCTATGATCATGAGTTTTATCAATTTTTGCTTACCTCTAACTTCACTACAATACTTCATTGATCATGATTAACCTCATCGTATATAAAAACCTTGTATAGCAAATTACGGTCCTCCTAGAACTTGGTATCATGAGTTGCATTAGTTTTTGCTCACCCCTAGCTTCACCAAATCTCAAGAAAACATGGCTTTGTTCACGTTTAATAGTGGCAATCCAAAATCCATCTTTGATCTACATTGATGATATCCTCATGGGAAAATAATGAAAGGACAGTAAGAAAGTTCATTCAAATCCCTAATCATCGATTCTCACACAGGGATCTCAGACCTTAGGCTTACTTTTTCGGAGTGAAAGGCAGTCTTCAGTCTCAAGGCTTATTTATGTCTCAATGATAATAGGCAAAGCAACCACTTACAAGAATATGTATCATAAATGCAAAGCTGGTAGAAACACATACACTTCATTAAACATAACCTCCCACTTCACTTTAGAATCATGCTCTATTATGCCTCTCTAAGTATCGCACCATTGTTGTCAGCCTCCTACACCTTTCACTTATACATCCTGAGGTTACCTGTACAGTTAAGTAGTCTCAGTCCATGCACTAACTTACTAGTGCCCAATAGACTATTCCTAAAAGACTACCATGATATCTTTGTGGAACCCAAGATCATGATTTTGTCCACAAAATCTAATAGCGCCGAAAGCTATCACTCAAGATGAACATAGCCTTCCCATGAAACAATTTCAAAATTCGTCTTTTTACACCCCCATCCATGTTCCCCTAAACCCCAAGCAAGTATTAACCGTTGAGATATTTCCACGGAAAAATTACAATAACAGAACACTAACCAACCAGATCTTATAGAAGAAAGCGATATCACACAAGTTAAAACCAAAACCACAAACTAGAGGAAGTAAGAGGAATTTTCACTAAAGCAAGAAATCAAACACTAACCGCGCATGCGCTACTTCTTACGCTCGCCGCTCCGAAGCGACTGCCAGAACACAGGCCAATTCCTTCTCGCCTCATTCCATCCGAGTACAGAACCCTCGCGAAGTGGATCCCAGCTCGCAGACACGATCCCATAGCTGACACCAAGAAGAGAAGCCCCAAAAAAGAAGAAGGAGACCAGGAGAGGTATCCAGTTGGGCACGTCTACCCTCACCACCACCTTCAGATAGTAGAACAAGGGGAAGAAAAGAAGGCCGGTGCCCAAAGGAACGCCCACAGACAACCCCATTCGCTGCATCATTCGATTCGTCACTACCTCGGGGATAGTCCCCGCGGCGTCGTCTCTCTCATCCGCATCGCCATACTCTGCTTCATCATCCTCGTTTGGGCTCAAAATCTTCTTTCGTCTTTTATTTTTGAATTGTTGCGAGGAGATGGCGGGGCCGAATCCCTTGGGGGTCTTGCGAGCAGCAGCGGGACAGAGGGTTAGGGTTTTGTTGTGGGACGAGGATGAATAAGAAGAAGGGAGATTGAGATGGGGAAAAGGAGCGGGAAGCAAGAGATGAAGGACGGATTCCATTGCTGGCCTTATGCGATGAGTTGTTGATGGCATGAAGGACCTCCTCCACTTTGAGAATGGCGGGGCGACCTTAACACGCCTGAAACATAGGCCAGATTAAAAATTGGGTCGGAGAGAAATAGTTGGGCGATACATCAAATGGGCTTTGATGGATTTGGATGCCACTGATCCATTAATTTGAATAGATTATCTTACAAATTAATCAAATTGAGTGAGATAAAATATAAATACTAAAAGGGTTTTTACATATGAATCACACAAAATATTAAATATAAGATTTGAATTTTTAATCATTCAACTTTTACATATATTTCTTATTTTAACCACTCAAAATTAAATCTTTGGATAAATTCAATCCAAATTAAATTGAAATTAATTTTATTCGGTTTAGAGAAAATTAAAATTTAACATTTAACCTAAAATTATTAAAACATAAAATTTTATTTCAAAATTAAAACTTTCATTTATATTTCTTATCTAAATTACATAATTTTTTTTTTTTCAAAATGAATTAATTTCTTAATTTTAATATCATATGGTTTCTCAATTTCTTTGCTTTAATGGATATTAAAATCTATCCAAAAATCAAAGATTAAATATTAAAATATTAAAATAAAAATTCAAATTATTATTATAAATTGAACCGAATCAATTGAATGAGCTTGGCTAGATTTGGATTTGAATTTGAATTTTAACCAAACAAGGACACCCTTATATGCCACAATTTTTTTTTTCCTATCTAAATATTTTAAAAACTAATTTATTAGTTATTTATATAAAATTTAAATGGTTAATGACTAAAAAATTATTAATTTTAGTTTATTTAAAAAGTTGTAGATATGTTTAAATGCATAGCACTTCAATTTTGTTATTTATAAATCTACCACATATTTCTTTTTTTTATTACCAAACTAGTGCATTTAAACGCACCACGATCAAATTATTAGTATTTTGATAATAATGAAAAATATGGTTTGGAATTTTATCATAAATTTTAATACGAGTGAGAATTTGAAAAATGGATGAAAGTGCGTGATAATTTTGGAAATAGCAAAATTTTGAGTACTATGTCATTTTTATGCTTCGACATGATTTAGACATCAAAGTACTAAATTTGAATATTAGAGATGTAACAACTTATAAATCTCATTAAATTTGTTTAGTTGAATCTGAAATGCCCAAATTAGCAAATGAGCAGAGATGTAAAGAAGCAGGGAGAAGAAAAAAGTAAAAAAAAGAAGAAGACGTGGTTGAAAATAGAAGAAAGCAGAAACCTGATTAATCCTCTTATATCATAGCATTAGCAATACAGGGTATTTATATTAGTGCATAGGTGAAGAGGAAGAGCAAATAAGTTGGACCACATTCATTAGATACAATATTTACTCCTTTTCATGCCCCTCAAAATGACAATATCAATAATAGATATTGTGAGTTTGTTCAGCAACTTTAGAAATCAAGGAGTTGCAAGAGCCTTGGTGAAAATATAAATGATTTGTTCCTCGAAGGTAGGTTACTATAGATGCACTTCATTGGATTTGATGTGATCTCTGATGAAATGGTAGTCTATTTCTACATGTTTAGTTATCGCATGGAAAACGGGATTTTGAGTAATGACCCTAGCAGACTTATTATCACAGTAGAGGCGTAGTGTCAGTATTTGGTCTTTGAAAGTCTTGGAGAAGACGTCGAAGCCAAACAATTTCAATGGAAACAGAGGATATATCTCTTAATTTCATTTCAGTAGAAGATCTTGTCATAGTTGGTTGTTTTTTCACATTCCAACATAACAAATTGGGTCTAATGAATGTGCAGTGTTCAGTGATAGATTTTGGTTGTTCACGTCACTTGCCCAACTCACATCAACATATGTGGGGATGATAGGTGATCCAGCTTGAAAAGAAATACCCAACTCTTGTGTTCCTTGAAGATATCATAATAGACATTTGAGAGCTTGATAGTGAGACTTGAGAGGTTTATGTAAATGTTGAGATAGATTGTTAACTCTGAACAAAAAGTCAGGCTTAGTTAAAGTAAGATATTGAAGAGAGCTAACAAGATGTTTGTAATGCGAAGGGTTGGAGTAAGGTTTCATGTCTGGTGTGGAGAATTTAGGATGAAGAGTTCGGGGATTAAAGACAATTTTCTAATCTTTCATACCTACTCTCCTGAGTACGTCCTTGGCATAATTATTTTGATTGATCTGATAATCTTAATTTGCATGAGTAATGTTGACACCTAAGAAGGTATGGACTAAATCCACGAATTTCATAAAAATTTTATGTTGTAGTTCATGTTGAAAATGGTGTATTAGTTCTAAATTATTATCAGTAAAAAAATATATCGACAACATAGAGTAGGGGATATGTCTATGAGAGTTTTTGTGATAGATATATAGTGAAGGATCAACATTGCTTGCTTGAAACCCGAACTTGACTAGATGTATGGTAAACATGTGATTTCCATTGCCTAGGTGCCTGCTTGAGACCATAGATTGATTTCTGTAACAGACAAACTTAACACGGGTGAATAGGATCTTTGTAACACGGTAGCTAACTCATATAGACAATTTCACGAAGTTGACCATAAAGAAAGGCATTTGAGACATCCATCTTATAAATTTTCCACTTATAATGAATGACAAGTATGGAAGTAGTCAGATAGTTTAACTTTTGGTTACATAACTGAATGTGTCCTTATAATTGAGGCCCTATTCTTGTTGATAACCTAAAGCTACTATACACCCTTTATACCTCGTCGCAGAACCATCTGAATTCCTTTTGATTTTGAAATTCCATTTGCTATCAAGCACAGATTGATCGACAGCAGACATTACAAGTTTCCAAGTATTTTATTTGTGGAGTGCTTGAAGTTCCGCTTCCATCACTTTACTTCAAGGATCAAACTTAATAGCTTGTTTATAATTGGTGGATTTAGTTCATGGTAAAGAAACATGTACCAAATCTAAAATAGACTTCCTAATTAAGGAAATAGTTTGAGATCTTACCATCATATGGAGTTTCAGTAGTTGATTTCGAGAAGGAACTGAATTGTGTTGATTTCTTGTTTTACCATCATATGGAGTTTCAGTAGTTGATTTCGAGGAGGAACTGAATTGTGTTGATTTCTTGTTGAGCAGGAAATAGAATCTGTATTTTCAAGCTGAACATCAGTTGGTTCTTTGGGTAAATCACTAGAAGTAGCTTGTGAGGAGGTTGGAGATACCAAAGATAGATTGTGTGAAGAAGGGCTCGATGCAGATAGTTCAGTGAGTATAGTTGAAATGGGTATGCGATTGATAGAAGAAGGATATGTGGGAAGTGGAGCTGAAAGTTCAAACTAATGAGGCAGTTTGTAAGGGTAGATCGATTCATTAAATAAAACATGTATAGAGATTATGATATTACCCGTGGTGGGATCAAAGCAGTTATATCCTTTGACATGAAAAGGATAACCCAAAAATACACATGTTGTTGAGCGTTGTTGAAGCTTATTTCTATGGTGTGGGGTAAACCAAGGAAAATATTGACATCCATAAGTTTTTAGATAGATGTAATATGGAAGAGAAACATAGAGTAGTTGATATGGTAATTTATTGGTGACCACATTGGACGATAAGCAATTTATCAAATAAACTACCATGAGAATCGTATGTTGCCATAGAAGGGGAGGTATTTTGAAATCACCTATGAGAGCTTTGTGGTCTCCAATATAAGATGGTGTTTCCCTTCTTGAGGCGTATAAGAACAACTAGTTTGTTGGATAATTTCATGGGTAGTAATTATATTTTTGAAATGTTAGCTACTGTATTCCCCATCATTATCAATTTTGATATTTTTTTTTTATTTTCTGATTAAATTGAAGTTCTACTTGTTGCTTGAATCAAATAAAATGATGAATGACTTCAGATATGTTATTCATAGGATAAAGCCACATGTACATAGTGAAATTATCAACAAATAATTCATAATAACGATAACCTTAATTTGACGCGGTTGGAGATGGACCCCAAACATCTGTATGTATTAATGCTAATGGATTACATTGAGTACTAGTAGACTTATTAAAGGGAGTACAATGAAGTTTAGCAATAATACATGACGTGCAAAAAAAAAAAAACAAATCAGTTGGTATATGCAATTGTGGTTGTAGCTTGGCAATGTCTTGCATGGTTTGACAACTAGGATGTCCAAGGCACTTATGCCATTGTTCCGAATCAACTTTAACAAAAGTAATGGCTTGAGTGTTGGATGAAATGTGATAAAAACTATTATTGCATAGACCTTGAAGAAGAACTTGTGAGTAGTTCGATTCTTTATTTGATATCCAGTAGAATTAAACATAATCATGTCGTTATTATCATGCGCCAACTGAGATATGGATATCAGGTTGTAAAAAATGTGAGGAGTATGAAATAATCTAGAAAGAATTAGTTTACGGTTGGGAGTAGCTAAGATGCCAACCCGGAGTGTTATGTTGGAATAGTGTTGCCATTGTCGACCATCACACTTTCATTGCCTTGATAGGTCTCAGGATGTTGCAAATGATTGAAGTCAATGGTCAAGCGAGAAGTAGCAAGTGAATCAAGATACCAATTAGATTTGACTGAAGGCTTAATAGAAGTAACTGAAAACATTGAAATTTTTGGGTTGATAGTTGATGTTGAGTAGATGCCAACATTTTGGAGTTATGTGGCCTAGCTTATTGCAAAATTGACAAAGAATATATATGAAGGATTTGGTTTCAGAGTTAGAAGGTTCTTTAGTTCATTTCGAAGGTTGATTATGAGAGCCACCTCTGCTTCTATATAATTTCCCTTTCTTTTTGTGAGAATAGAGAGCGATTTGTGACTCAGGTTCAAGATTTTCATTCTTGAAATCAGCTAAAGGATTGATTTCTTCGTTGATTAATAGAGCATATATATTTTCAAGATTTATGGGAACTGATTTAGTGCATATAGTGGTTTCAAATGTTTGATAAGAAGATGGTAGACTTTTTAGGATGTATAGGACAATATCTTCGGTATCCACTTTTGAACCGGTCACATAAATATTGTCATCAATTGACTTAATTTGCATCACATATTGAGTCATTGTTAGGTTTCTCATTGACACGTTATGCAATTCATTTTTCAACTAAATAACCGGAGAGCGGTTGGAAGGTTGTAGCCGATTCTCTAAGGCAATCCAAATTTCATGACAGCTCTCCAAATTCAAGACATAGAACAAAATGATGTAGAAATTGTAGAAGGCAAAGTTGTTGTTAGGTTCCGCTCAACCAAGATCTAGATAGTATAAGCATTATTAGGAAAATTTGTACCTAATTTGGTGAGAATCCGATGACCGAGATTAAATAGGCTGCCATCAAGAAAGCCCAATAACCCATTAGCTTTGATAATTTTGACCATTTGAGATCTCCACAACTGGTAATTATATGTCGATAGAGCTGTCGTAGCCATTGATTTCATATTGGTCCTAAGAAATTTCAAAGAAGCCAAAATGGGGCAATCGGTAATTCATGTGAAGTGTCGCATGATGCTCTTGAATTTGGGAACTTTTGGAATCATCCATGGTTGCCTAGAGGAGAGAATGAGCAGAGGTGTAAAGAAGCACAGAGAAGAAAGAAGTAAGTAAAAAAGGCAGAGCAAATAAGTAAGTGGACCCTATTCATTAGATATAATATTTACTGCTTTTTAGGTTCTAATCAACTTTGTATAGAATTTAGAACAGAAGTCGAAATAAAAGTTAGGTCTTGTAAGTTTAACTCGAGATGGAAGAATGAAACAATAAATTTTTGCATAATTTTTTTTATTATTACAAGCTAAAATATTTATAATGATGAAATGAGGGATTAACGCCTATGCTTTATGCAAAGATCTTACACAATGACAAATAAATAAAAAGAACAAAAAAAATTAAAATTTTGATAGAAAAAATTAGTAATATTTCGTCTAGTTGAAATAATTCACTTTGAATATTTTTTTTAGCTAAACAATGTATATAAAATCATTTGAAATAATCCACTCTTTATATAAGAATGTTTGGTCTTTCCTATAATTGGATAAGAGAGAATCTAAAATTAAGTTAGGAGCGCTTATTTGAATGAGTGATAATGGTCAGACGAGGATAATTTGGAGATGATAGCTGAAAGATCAACATCAAGAGAGTGTTTTAGCGATGCTATTCATAAGATAATAATAGGATGGTGTTGGTTAGAAGATAATAGTTGGGCCACGATGATTGATAGATAGCATTCGAATGCCAACGACCAAGAGACAATAATTAGACGATAGTGTATGAGAGAAATTAGCAGGAAATCAAAAAATTAAAACATTTTGATCAAATGATGATAATCAATAGATAATAATTAAGCAACGCGCGCTAAAAAAAAATGGAATAAAACTATATATATTGGGCAACAATACTGATCAAGTAATGGCAACTAGGGGATGTCGATTGAGCAATGGCAATTAGGAGAAGACGTTAGGTGGTGGTGGTCAGATCAGAGCTTTAGAATTATTCAAACATTTGATATCTTTTTAATTCAAATATAGGTCCCTCCCATATGAAGAACCACCATACATTTATATTATTTTGGCCAAACTTAAAACATTTCATCAAATAAAATTTATATGAATACATTTAATAACACGTACATTTAGCATTTAAGAATCTTATTAACATCAAAGTTGTGCAATCTTAAACTCATTATATTTCTATTGTTAACACATTCAATTTGATTATAAATATAAGGGACTCAATTACACACAACCTCATAATAGAAAAAATAAAGATTAGTATATATATATATATATAGAGAGAGAGAGAGAGAGAGAGAGAGAGAGAGAGAGAGAGAGAGAGGGAGGGAGGAAATGTGCTCCCATACCCTTATATATTAATTACACCTTGAATTTTTTGAAAATCGACAAAAGAAGGACGACCACAAGTTCAGTATGGCCATTCATTTCAATTTTTGATATCTTGTTTTGGAATAATGGTTTTTTTTTTTTTTTTGGTCATGATGAAAAGTTTCCATTCTCATGTATATATATATATATATATACAATTAGTCTATTTTGAAGAAGCTGTTTGTTTTTTTTTTGGAATAATGGTTTTTTTTTTTTTTTTTGGGTCATGATGAAAAGTTTCCATTCTCATGTATATATATATATATACAATTAGTCTATTTTGAAGAAGCTGTAGGTGTTGCTTTCAAACTGCGTACAAAATTTGTCATTCTATCTGCCCGTGACTCCAATAGCTCCATCCCATTGTCTTCTTTCATCCCTGCACTCTACACTACATGTGACTATGAGAGGGGGAGACGGACCAAATAATCCTATCTTATTATATTTCTTTCTTCATCAATAAAATTTTTCCTCATAATTGTAAATATAAAATCGAATAAAATTTTATATTTACATTTATAACATCTTAACATTAAAAAATTATGCACCTTTTCACCTTTAAGAACAATTTAGTTATAGTAGCATGTAAATATATGAGAATTGGGTGGTATGTCTGTAAATACCCCTATGCCTTTTTCTGTCCATTGATGTTTCCTTATTTGAGTTATAGGATATCACGAAATATGGAATCATTATTTACAACTATTTTTATATGATTTTTATCTTCTTATAAAATGATTAAGAAATGCAATAACCTGGAGTTTTAAAAATGCGAATTTTAATTTTGAGCATGACTGTGCGCATTTCATCATATGATATGATAGGAAAATTCTAAAATTTAAAATTTAAGACAACAAGCATCAAATTCATAACTGATATAGTCATTTTAGACTGAATATATTTTTTTCGTTCAAAGGGGAAAAATATATATATAGAAGCTTTTACATATAAAGGTCTCCAAATTCTATAATTTATAGGCAAAGGCTCCCAAAATATTAATTTACTCCCACGGACTCGTCTATCTCTCGATCGGAAGGTTTTAGAAGAAAGGTACCGCACCGCTGCTCTAAGAGTCGAAAGCCTTAAATTCTCATGGATTGAATTGAACTCCGGCTAGGTGTGCTCAACATAGCGATGGCACACAACCCATTGGTCTGGCAATAGTACCTGAGCATGAACAAGATTTTCAAATCTCTTTTAGAGGCGATTGAGGGATTCTTGAACTAGTAGCAACTCGTTAAGCGGGCTCTTAATCTTAGATCGCTAAGGTCCAGTTGCTAATAAAATCGGCTGAAGAATGATTGCATGATTGCACCCAAAGATCGAAGCTTTAGATCACTAATGAGATACGGGTATAGGGATTATAGCAATCTAAGGATGGAAAAGACGAGAAGAAGGCCTTCAACTCTTAAAGTTGCAGGGTGGTGCCTTTCTTGTAACGCCTTCCAACGAGAGAAACAAAGTCCACGGGGAGTAAATTAAGGGTTTGAGAGCCGTTATCTATAAATTATAGAATTTGGGGATCTATATGTAAAAATCCCAAAAAATATATTCAGCCTAAAATGACTTTACATCACCGGAGAACCAAAAAAAAAAAAAGAAAAAAAAAGAAAAAGGTCACATGAACATCACCGCGCAAAGGACACTTCAGCTACAGTCCCACGCGAACAGCAACACAGACCGACAGAAAAAAAGAAACAATAATACCAGGGGCAGAACGGGAAATAGATCCACTTTGGCCGGAAGCCAAGGCGGCGCGCTCGAAGTGGAGTGAGTCGGCGGCGAGCGGCATGTTCTCCCGGTCTAAGCTGCATCGGTAGGGCGGCGTCGGCGGGTGCGCGCTGTACAAAATAGCCCTCAAAACTGCCGACACCGTTGGGATATAGGCCGACTTATTCCTCGCCAGTAGCCACGTCAGCCCCATAAGCCGGCAATCTCTGTCCATCATCTTCTCCACCCTCTCACCACCGCCGCCGCCCTTCAGCTGCCACTCGATCGTAAACAACACAAAATTATCATCATTATTTTTACACCAAAAAGAAAAAAAAAAGGAAATGAGTTTTCATACGAACTTAATGAATGTTTTCGATCCAAAGTAGATATAAGTATGTTCTTAAGATCCCAATCTAAAGAGTTAATGACCAATACACAGTCGATATTAAAACCTTTGAAAATCTTCAATGAACAATAACTTTATGCATTTAATAACTTTCCTTCCTTAAAATGCTATTAATGCTACTCACGAGTGAAGCCGTGGAATGAAGCACAACCCTTTCTTAATGCCTGCAACTGTAAGAATGTTTCAGCGAATTCAATCAGATTTTCATGAAAGCAGGCATGAATGATGAATTTGAAAAACAAATTTTATCTTAAATAAAATCTCATTCAGGAACATCTCAATGCTCATATATTCAAATTAATTATTTGATTTTTTTTTAACTTATTGCAGATATCAATAAAATTATTATATTTACGGAGACCTTCACGAACTTTCCATAGCTTAAAATCGTATTATATGAAGAATCTAACGAAAAAATTTCACAATTTTCAAACTATATCAACTAAATGTGCCTCAAATTTTCCAAGAAAAAAAAAAATCCCAATTTTGAAGATATATCTTCGTCACCAACCTTCTCCAGGGAGCCAAGGCATCGTGTGCAACCGGAGTGAGATGCATTGCGGCAATTACGTTCAAGAGCGCGGAGGCCGGATGTCGGCTTGACTCTATCGCCGTCAGCATCTCCTCCGCTGGAAACAATAAAGGCTGACGGACAAAACAGCGACCCCATCTCATGCAACCGTATTCCGCAGAAACAGAGCACGGCATCACAGGTAGCGTTAGGCCGCGGAAAGCTAATATTACGAGCGGCGAGAGAGCTCTGTAACGCATAGGCGCACTGCTGTGACTCAGTCTCCGGCATCATTGGAAGCGAGTCTTCAGCGCTGTCCAACGGAGGCGAAGACGGTCGGAATTGGAGGGCGGAGCGAGCGTGGGCAGCAAACAGCCAGGTGCGAGAACGGGGCAGCAGCGGCTGCGGTCGGGGTTCGCACCGTGGCCGCATGCTTCTTCGACGCCACCGAACATCTCGGATGAGAGGTCGAGTTGGCAGGCGGAAGCGGCGGCGGAGCGGTTTCTGCCGGCGAGGGGGAAGGCGGGTACGGTGGATGATGGAGAAGGGGATACGCCGGCGGCGGGGGACAGTAAGAGAAGAAGAGCAGTGGCAAAGATTAGCTGCATTTGTGTTTTCCTTAGATGGTTGAGAGCGAAGTGGAGTCTTTAGGAAGTATTTGAGAAAAGGGTCGTCTCTGGTGAGGAGGATGAAGCAGGGGGTTTGCGTCTTATTAACCCTTTTACCTCCTGCGCTTAAACTATTCAAATATATAAATATATTTATTTTGAGTATTAGCATTTAATTTTTTTTATATATTTATTTATTCTACAATTAAATATATAAATCACCTAAAAAATCAATAATGATAAACTTTTTACAATGAAACACATTTTTTTCAGGTATATATAATAGAGCTTTATTAGAAAAAAATATGTTTATAATTGGTTTTTTGTGATTTAGCTCTCTTTAACGAAAGAGTATCAAAGAGTTGTTTCAATACTTACTAAACTATATGCACGAGCAAAGTTCAGACCTCATTCAAATATTGTTGAATCTGATTTAATAGTATCAAAAATTATATTATTTTTCAATCATAGCTTGAACAATGCTCAAATATATTTTACACATAATTTTTAGCATATTGCCTAAATACAATATGATCTTATCTGTCTTCAAATATAATTCAGCCATACATTGAGTATTTTGATTATATTTCAGTCATTGACCACATGTTTAAATATGACTTGCTTCACCTTTGAATTATGTTTGGACAATAACAAAACTATATATATGTTGTGTATGTACCTGCATGTGTATGTGTATAAGCAAAATTTAGGTTCCATTATTCATTAGAAAAGAAAAAAATTTTATGTCCAAACAAAATAATTTTTTACTAAGCTAAGGTGTAATTATTCTAAAATCTTCTACACTTCCAGTTGTGAATTGAATAAAAAAGTTGGAGGGAAATATGGTGGAATATCTTTAAATAGCTAGTATTTACACAATAAAGTAGATGGCTTTTGAAGAAATAAATTATATTTTGTAGACCCTTTAGAAGGTACTTGTCTTTTTCCTTATGGAAGAAACCATGAAGTATAATTTTTTTCTAAATGGAAACTTGTCTATAATAAAGGCGACCAAAGCACATAGTAAGGAAAAAAGAGCAAGTAAGATTAGAAAGAAACTACAACCTATTTATAAACAGTCGAGTGCACGCAAATCAAGGAAGTATCAACTACCATTAATTAATTAGATAAATAAGAAACTAACTACATTAGTATTACACCTTTCTAATACACGAGAAAATAAGAGAGCCAAAATGTATATGATCAAAAATACAATGAACTATATCAAACAGTCATGAACAGGACATGAAGAAAAATAAACCTCAATGAGCACAGAGAACTCCCAGCTGACACAAAACAAATGGTTTGACTGATCAAGTCAAGTAGGCCGGCTGAATTGGCGAACAAACGATTAACTATCAGGGGAGCGAGTGAAACAACGCTTCAATCAAGAAGAATTTGACGAAGGTAACGTCAATCTTGACGGTTACATTACCAATCGACAGTAAAGAATCTCAATGATATTTTTTACATTTCATGATGTCTCTTCCAATTATTATAGACATGAGAACGGTAAAGTGTAAGTGAGACCTTTTTTCTAGAAAATGCACATTGGGAGTACTGAATTTTGGTGCTCCTAAGACTAGCCTTTCCCGACTTTCTATATTTCTTTCTTACGCTCTATTCCTTAGGAATGATGCACAAACAGAATCGGGTTCAACAATATTGGTCTTGGATTCTCCCAATGCTCTACCATGAGTTATATAAGCAAGAATGCCTCTAAAATTTTCAATTATATGATATTTAATGGAGCTTCTTTTTAACATCTAACTAATATAAATAATAGTAAATAGGGAAGAGCTAAGGGTGCTCTCAACAGAAATCCAAGGTTTTTTAAATAAATTAAAAAAAGAAAAAAAGCTAACATAAAATGTAAGAGATTTCAAGGAAATTTTAATCATAAATTGTGTTTTAGCTAAAAACAAATTGAGACACATAGGAAAATATATTCAAACCCCTGATCTTCCCAATTAATTATATTATAATTTAAAACTAAGAGTGAGAAAAATAAAAAATAAAAGGTAGAGATTTAATCATATGACGCTGATTCAAAGCCATAACCTGCCCAATAAACTAGTCTCTCCAACCACTATACCATAAATACCTAAACTAACAACAGACACGTTTGGGCGATACGGTCTGTTAACGTGGCGGCCAATGATTTGCAGACCATATATAATGAATGAACCTTTTAGACGGCAACTTTGAATTGTCATCGTATTTAAATTATTTAGACCTCAAAATAAAATCAATAGTAATCACATAATTATATTTTGAAAGAACTTGATAATACTTTCTTATGTCATTGTATATATCAGAAAATATAAGCACGGATTTTAAAGAGAACAAACAATCAAGATGAAAGAGTATTCTTTCAAGGCAAACAATCAAATGTTGACTTAGGGTCGAGCATGAAGCTGGGTCTCCAAATCCGAGATATGTTCAAGCTTTGGAGATGGCTCCCGGCTTAATAACGGCAAGACCCGTCAAAGGTGAGACGTGAATCATCAATGTAGCGAGTCTCGTCGAATTCTCTGCTTCGGTTGCGACAAGATCCACTTAAGACCTTGCAAGATTGAGAGATTTTGTTGAAGCGACAAACCAACTAGGCAAACGAGACTTGAGCTGAGCGGAAAATAAGCCACAACACTACAAAAAAATTTGGTATATCACACTCAACATACCAACCCCACTTCTGAACTGAAAGACTACTTCACAACCGACTGATATGGTCGACTGTGCCAAAAGAAACATAACAAGATTGTCATACATCCAAACACTTCGATTGATCAACGTGCACTTTAGAGGGCATAAATGTCACTTAGTCGGTTAACTTCAAACTAATCGATCAATCAGTTACCACCTACTTTAAAATTTAAATTATAATACAATTATATCATAAAATCTATATAATCAATTAGAATTTTAATGACATTGAGAAAAGTTTTCATAATAATTTTTTTTTATAATGGTATAAAATATGTCAATATAATTATGATACAAAAATATAAATAAAATTATCTTTCCTCGATTCTCCCTAAAAAATCTCAAGCCTATTTTTATTTCTTTTCAATGAAAAAATAATAAGATAAGATGATTAATCAAGAATAAGCATAGAGTACATTTTCCATCGTTCCGTTATTATGTAATAAATAAGAAAAATGAAGAGGTTATATTGAAAGTGGGATTATTTTTCAAATAATAATAATAGTTGTTATATTTGTTTAATTTAAAAAAAAAAAGATAGCAGAGAAGTTAGTACAAGTGTGCAGTAGAAAGGTGCGGGAATCGAGGGCCTTCGTGAAGAAGGGCATCTCGGTCGCAAGATTTTATTTTATTTTATTTTATTTGTGGAG